GTTAGAGATTGCCATCCTGCGACATGTGCTTTCCACGGCGCTATTAGCTGCCCCGGCCATTCCGCGGCCGCAAGGCTCGGGGGCAAAGGGCCGCCCGCGACAATTAGTGCCCGGGCGCCCGGCGCGAATTGAACGCGGAGGACGGAGTCAAATCTGCGCCGCACTGTCTGCGCCAAGGTGACCCCATACATTCGCTGAGTGACAGCCTCAAGCCGCGCCACGCGCGAGCTGAACACTGAACAAACTTTGACATCTGCGCCGCACTGTCTGCGCCGAGTTGATCCACGCAGACGCGAGATGACAGCCTGGGAACGATGCTGCGCACGTTGGTCGGCTTCCCGGGGCGGGGCATCGGGCCGTAGATGCGGAATTGCGAAAACCTCATCGGGCACGCGACGGCTGAATTACCAGCGGCGTACGCACACGATGCGGGTCGCTTTAAAACGTCTCCCACTCAAGGCGTACCCAAGAGAGAGACCCATAAATTATGCAAGGGGCGTCCGACGTATGGGAAGACGGTGGCTCATAATATACACTAAAGACATCGAGACTGTAGAAGGCCATTGGCCCATAAGTTATGCAATAGACGTCAGCACTATGCGAAACTATCGCCCCCAACATGTAAGCAATACGCGTCGGAATTATGGGATTATATTAGCCCATAATGTTAGCCAGATATATCAAATTCATACAAGGCTTTCTGCTATGTCAACGTTCCCCAGCCCATCAGCCACGCGGCGAGGACAGGAAGCACGATAGCTTACACCACATCGCATCGAAAAGTAAGGCAGCCGTCCAAATAATGCATGATTTGCCCAACCAGTGCTAGAATAAGTGTCTCGCCAGCCGACTACCTGACCGCGCTGGCCTAGTAGACGTCACCGCATTATTGGTGCACGCGTCTGCCTGCACAAGATGTTGTCCTAAACGCCGGCAAACACCTAAGCACTCCCGACAAATCATATCGACGGGCTGGAAACCCCAGAACTGCACGATTCGTTAAATGCAACGCCTCCCGCGGCGCGCGAAAGACATGTGCATAAGCAAGAACCTCCCGAATTTCCGCCCCAGGAGATGCAGAGCGAGGCCGGAGGGCCAAGGGAGAGCGAAAAAGAGGGAGGATGAGGACACGATGTGTATGTGTGTATATATATGTGTGTGTATACGCAAAAGGCCGTCTCCGGATGTTGCTTTTTACTTTACCATCTAGCCAACTCTACCCCTTCATGGCTTCGATCCTGTAAGCCTACATGCACCGTCCGGCTTGCTTCACCCGCCCTGAACGCATACATGCGACCATGTATACGTTCCCTTGGACGTGCAAGTACTATAGCACCCCGCAATTGCGGATAAGAGTAAGGGGCCGGCGCGGGCGACGCGGGTGTCGTCGAGCTGGCGGACCTCGTGGCCCCCACCTTCCCTGTCGATGGCTCTTTCCTCCACCTCCTCCTCCTCCTCCTCCTCCTCCTCCTCCTCCTCCTCCTCTTCCTCGTCCTCCTGCTCCTCTTCCTCGTCCTCATCGTCATCGTCATCGTCCTCCTGCACCCCATCCTCCTCCTCCTCTTCTTCCTCGTCCTCCCTCTCCCCCCTCGTCTTTTCATCATCGTCCTCCCATTGTCGTCCTCCCCCTCATCGGCCTCCATCATCGTCCTCCCATTGTCGTCCATCATCATCATCCTTACCCTCCTCCCCCTCCTCGTCCTCCTCCTCCCCCTCCTCCTCGTCCTCCTGATCCTCCTCTTTTTCTCTCTCCACAGTATCCTTACATACATCCTCTCTTCTTCCGCGTTCTCCTCGTCCCCTGTTTACTCCTCCTGCATCCCCCTCCTTTCCCAAGATAACTGCAACGATTGTCTTCCCATGTTATGCTCCCCGCCTTCTCTGATCAAGGCAACTGGCCAGGGTAAAGTTGCTGGACGGGCTGGTGTGGATGCGCGGGGCTTGAAGGTCCTTGCGGGCTCAGACGACATGCAAAAATCCGCCGCCGCGCTTGTGCGGCATTGGTTTGTTCAGTGAACGTGGTTTAGGTCGCGGGTGGGTCGCGGGCTCTCCACATCCACCTGGAAGGAATGCAAAAGCAGCCCGCCGCAGGCGCCAAAAACATTGGTTTGTACACTGAACGAGGTTTGGGTCGCGGGTGGGCCAAAGGTTCTCCACCAGGAACGAATGCAAAAGATGCCCACCGCAGGCGCCGAAAAATGTGGTTTGTACCCTGAACGTGGTCGCGGGTGGGCCGCGGGCTCTCCACCTGAAACGAATGCAAAAGATGCCCGCCGCAGGCGCCGAAAAATGTGGTTTGTACCCTGACGTGGCTTGGGTCGCGGCATGGTCGCGAGTTGGTCACGGGGTGGGTCGCGGGCTCTCCACCTGGAAGGAATGCAAAAAAGCCCGCCGCAGGCGCCGAAAATGTTGGGTTGTACCTTGAACGTGGTTTGGGTCGAAAGTGGGTCGCGGGGTAGGTACCGGGTGGGTCGCGGGTGGGTCGCGGGTGGGTCGCGGGTGGGTCGCGAGTGGGTCGCGGGGTGGGTCGCGGGCGGGTCGCGGGGTGGGTCGCGGGGTGGGTCGCGGGGTCGCGGGTGGGTCGCGGGGTGGGTCGCGGGGTGGGTCGCGGGGTGGGTCGCGGGTGGGTCGCGGGTGGGTCGCGGGTGGGTCGCGGGGTGGGTCGCGGGTTGGGTCGCGGGTGGGTCGCGGGGCGGGTTGCGGGTGGGACGACGACAACAAACAACAACAAACAACAACGAGAATCCGCACTGCGGAATTCCACTTCAGCCACGCACCCAGGGACAGTGAATGACCGTTCGGCCCCCTCACTCTGACAAGGAACAAATAATACACACTTCTATGACCGCATGAACAAGTCTAAATGTACATGCCTGTAAACGCACGCATATGTACACACACACGTTTGTATATGTACACGTGTGCTTAGTTGCACAGGCCTGTATGTGTGTACAGGCACAACCCTTTCTACCTGTTCGTCACATGAATCCCCCTCTTGTCGTCTCTCACCCTGTTCCTCTCACAATTAGAATTGACAACTATATTCCCAGGGAGCTTTCATTTAGTGATTATTGCCGCTCGCTCTCTCTCTCTCTCTGCCGCTCTCCGTTTCTCCGGTGCAATGTGCATTATTATGCGTGCCCTTTCGCCGTGCCACGGAAGAGCAAGGAGGGGAAGGAGGGGGATGAGGAACAACTAGGCAGTTGCTATCCAATGGATTGCAATCGGTTTGCAATGCAACTGTACTATTTTACTCGACCCGTGCCAACGCCCGGAAGCGAACAAATACTATTATGCTATACTCGTGACAATGGGAAGGTCAGGAATCCACAACATACAATTCGACTAAGTTCCTCCCTTGACAACGCCTAGAGGGCCATAAAGAATACAAGTCAACTATACTGCTCCCTTTGCAACGCCCTCCCCTCAGTCCCTTTCCTACCCTCCCCACCCTCCCCCGCTTCTATTTTCTATCCTCCTTCCCCTCCCTCACAAACCTCCCCTCCCTCCCCTCCCTCCCCTCCCTCCGCCCCCTCCCCTCCCTCCGCCCCCTTCCCACCATCCCCTCCCTCCACTCTCTCCCGTCCGTCCCCTCCATCCTCTCCGCCCCCTCCCTCACCTCCATCCCTGACCTCCCTCCTGTCCCTCCCCTGCATTTCAATCGATTGTAATCGCATCAGTTGCAATTCAACCGATCGCAATCCAATATATTGCAATGCAAACGCTTCCAATCCTATCAAATGCAATCCATTGCAATGCAATCCCCCTCCCCGCCTCTCCCCTCCATCCCCTCCCTCCCCTGACTCTCCTCCGTCCCTCCCCTCCCTCCCCTCCCTCCCCTCCATCCCTCCCATCCCTCCTGTCCCTCCCTTGCATGCAAATCGATGCAAATCAAATCGATTGCACTTCAACCGATTGCAATCGCAAGTCCAATCCATTGCCATACAATCCTCCTCCCTCCCTCCTCTCACCTCCCCCACACGAACCAAAGAGGAGAGGGGGGGGGGCTTCAAGCCCCCCCCCCTCCCCTTTTGCACCAAAGGAGGGAGGGGGGGGGAGCTTCCAAAGCCCCCCCCCCTTTCAAAGGAGGGGGGTAGCTCACTCCAGCTCCACTAAAAGGAGGGAGGGAGGGGGCGGGGTAGCTTGGAAGCCCCCGCCCCCTTTTCCGGCCACGACAAAAGGGGAAGGGGGGGGGTAGCTTCCGAAGCCCCCCCCCCCCCCTTCAAAGGGGGGGGGGGGCTCACCCCGGCTCAATTAAAGGGAGGGAGGGTGGGGGTAGCTTGGAAGCCCCCCCCCTTTCCGGCCACGAAAAAGGGGGGGAGGGGGGTGGGGGGTTTCCTAAGCCCCCCCCCCCTTTAGCAAGAAAGGGGGGGGGGGTAGCTTCAAGCTAGGGCCCCCGTTCTAGTCTGTCGGGCCCCACGCGCGCGTTCTATCGAATCTTTGTAGGGCCTATGAAGAAGGATCTTGGAGGGAGGGTTTACTCCAACATCGTTGATGGCTCTCGGGCTTACACTGGTTCTCCTCCTTCTGCTACTCCTCCTTCTTCTCCTCTTCCCCCTCCCCCTCCTCCTCCCTCCTCCTCCTCCTCCTCCTCCTCCTCCTCCTCCTCCTCCTCCTCCTCCTCCTCCTCCTCCTCCTCCTCCTCCTCCTCCTCCTCCTCCTCCTCCTCCTCCTCCTCCTCCTCCTCCTCCTCCTCCCCTCCTCCTACCCCTCCCCCTCCTCCTCCTCCTCCCCCTCCCCCTCCTCTTCCCCTCCTCCCTCCTCTCCTCCTCCTCCTCCTCCTCCTCCTCCTCCTCCTCCTCCTCCTCCTCCTCCTCCTCCTCCTCCTCCTCCTCCTCTGTTCCTCCTCCTCTGTTCCTCCTCCTCCTCCTCCTCCTCCTCCTCCTCCTCCTCCTTTCCTCCTCCCTCCCCCTCCCTCCTTCCCCCTCTGTTCCTCCCTGCCCCCGGCGACCAGCGCCAGCGGCTGCGGCGAGAGGAGCTCGCGCGCGGGGGGGGGGCACGAGAACCACCCCGCCTCCGCGCAGCCTCGCAGGGGGGCCGCTCTCTGGCCCGCGCTCCCCGGGGTGGAGAGAAGGGGCGCCGCGCGCGCTTGGGCGGCCGCAAGTGGAGGATGCCGGCCTCTCCTTCCCTGGTTGGGGCGCGTGCGTCTCTCTGCCCTTGCCCTGTCTCGTGTTATGCTCCTCCTTCTCCTTGTCTCTCCCCCCTCCTCCTCCTCCCCTCCTCCTCCTCCTCCTCCTCCTCCTCCTCCTCCTCCTCCTCCTCCTCCTTGTTCTCCTCAGTGTCATCCGTGTCCCCCTCCTCTTCCTCCTCCTCCTCCTCGTTCTCCTTTTTCACCCTCCTTGGCCCCCTCCTCCTTGTCCTCCTCCTCGTCCTCCTGTTCTTATGATTGTCAGGAATATGACTCTTATTGTTCGGGATAAGAATAAAAATAGTTTGCTTAGTCGTACGAATAAGATTCGTGTTCTTAATCTTAGTGGTATGCTTAATCTCAACATACCAGTCGTCGTGGTCTCAGTAGTACTACTAATACTAGTCGTATCAGCCGTCTGACTCGTAATCGTAGTAGCACTATGCGATAGTATCGGTCGAATAAGTGGAGGATGAGTAGTAGCAGTATTACTGACATGAGTAATATTCAGGTTGTTAGCATCACAAGTATTCGTGTTCGTCTTCGCGGAAACAAATGATTCTTAGTAGTACAAATGCCATTCGACGTTTTCGTGCTACGTGGAATGACAATATGTGTTCGGAGTAGTTTCCGTCTTCTCCTTATTACTCGCATTAGTGGTATTATTGGCATGTTTGTTAGTACTGATATTATTGTTCTTATGATTAGCCTTAGTAGTCTTAATCGTCCTCTCAGTTTGAGTATACTTAGTTCTCTCCTTCGCATTATTACTCTTATTGCTATTGTTCTTCATATTCCTCCTCCTCCTCCTGTTCCTCCCCCTCGTCCTCGTCCTTCGTGCTCTTTCCTCTTCGCCTTCGCCTTAGTCTTCCTGTTACTACTGTTATTCGTAACAATTCCTCCTCCTCCTCCTCCTCCTCCCGTTCCTCCCCCTCGTCCTCGTCCTTCATCCTCTTTCCTCTTCGCCTTCGCCTTAGTATTCCTGTTACTACTGTTATTCGAAAGTATTCCTCCTCCTCCTCCTCCTCCTGTTCCTCCCCCTCGTCCTCGTCCTTCGCCCTCTTTCCTCTTCGCCTCCGCCTTAGTATTCTTATTACTACTGTTTTTCGTAACTATTCCTCCTCCTTCTCTTCCTGTTCCTCCCCCTCCCCCTCCTGCTCCTCCTCCTCCTGCTCCTCGTCGTCCTCCTCGTCCTCCTCCTCCTCCTCCTCCTCCTCCTCCTCCTCCTCCCCTTCTCCACCTCCTCCTCCCCCTCCTCCTCCTCCTCCCCCCCCTCCTCCTCCTCCTCCTCCTCCTCCTCCTCCTCCTCCTCTTCTCCTCCTCCTCCTCCTCCTCCTCCTGTTCCTCCCCCTCGTCCTCGTCCTTCGTCCTCTTTCCCCCCGCTGACCGCCGCGGGCTCCGGCCCCCCGGCAGCGGGCGCGGCCCTCCCCTGCCCTGCGGCGCCCTGCCTGCAGGCAGGGCGCGCGCGCTCCAAGAAGCTCGAGCTGAGCACGGCCAAGACGCGAAAGTTAAGCCGGGCCTGTCCCTCTACCAGGGGGAGTCTTCAAAAATAATCCAAGAATAGTCTGGGGACCATTATATATATATATATATATATATATATATATTTATATTAACCATTTTGGGCCATGTTGAAGGTATTTTTGATTTTTGCCGTCCAAAATCCCCCTGTAAGGGGACAGGCCCGACGTAACGCTAAAGTGAGGACCGCTGGGGGTTCAGGAGTGGACTACGGTCGGGGGCGTCAAAGAGGGGGGCGTCCAAGAGGGGGGGGCGCAAATCAGGGCCGGCGGCATGTGCGTCCCCTGGGTGAGGACCGCTGGGGGTTCAGGAGTGGCCTAGGGTTAGGTCGGGCCTGTCCCCCTACAGGTGGATTTTCGACGAAAAATTAAAAATAGTCAAACATACTCCAAAATGGTAGAAAAAATAAATAATGCTCACTGAATGGTCCCCAGACTATTTTAGGACCATTTTTGAAAATCCCTCCTGTAGAGGGACGGGCCCGACTTAACGCTAAAGTAAGGACCGCTGGGGGCCCAGGGATGGCCTAGGGCTTGCCGTGGCACAAATCGGCGGTGGACAAACCGCCCTTTAGTAAACCTCCCCTTGGTGAAAACGGCCTAGGGCCGAAACCGACGGACCTGGACCCGCACAAATGACGGCCGCGACGCCCTCTCGCGAACGCGAACCGAAAACGGCCAATTCGCTAATCGACGTGTCAGGGTAGGAGGACTGTCTGTCCAGCCCCGAGGCCTAGGGCTTGCCGTGGCCACAAGAGCCCTCTAGTTCCTCGCCTGCTTTCGGTAGCACGCCGACTGCGCGAGGGGAACGACGAGGAACGGCGAACAGACGACGAAGCGAGGCTCCACCAGGGGGGGGGAACGACGGGGGAGGCAGCAAGGGCGGCCCGAAGCCACGGAAAACCCTGAAAACTCCCCCCGGAAGGCGGGGGGGAGGCCCTCCACGGGCCCCCCGGAGCGTCAAGGAATGACTCCGGAAGAACTTGCTCGAACAGGCGGCTCCACGGAATTCGCACGTCAGCGAAACAGGTGACAGGTGCAAGCCACCATTTGCCAGCCTCGACCTTCTCCCTATCCCTAAGATTGACACGCCCAAAAGCGATGGCAATCTTAGGGATGCGCCCTCACAAAATAAGGGAATTCGTAAGATTGGCATCGTGATGAAGAGATGCCCAGCATAGGGATCGGGATATGTTCCAGGTTGGTAAACCATGGACTGACTTAAACCAGATAAGATCGTGTTGTAAACTGTTACAGCGTGCTGTAAGCTATCATGGCGAGTCGTAGAAAACGTGGCAAGGCTTCATGCATGTGCCGGGAAACTCATCGACATTCAAAAACGAGTGTGCAACTGCGATAAGCGTACCTAGATCCGCCGATCCGGCGTGTGAGCGCACACGAGCCTGAGCTCAGGTCCAGCATGCCCCCCCCCCCTCCCACAGGGAATTTTGGGCGAACAAAAGGAAGTATTCAACAAATGCCCCAACATACTCAAAAACAGTCTAGACATCGCCCCCCGACTAGTTTTTTTTTCGGCTAAGCGTAAGAGCGACCCTGTGTAAGAGTGACCTTTGTTGCGCGGTTTTGGGGGTGCCGCGGGAGGGGCCGAATCCAGGCGCGCTAGCCGCTGCTGCCGCTTCGCGATCGGTCATCTGGGGGCCCGTCTGTGCCCGCGCCAAATGTCACCCCAGCGAGAGGTCACTCTTGCGTCTAGTCGGTTTTAACCATGTTTGGAAAGTCCCCCTGTAGAAAGACATGCCCGACTCGAGCCCAAGCTTATGTCGGGCGTGTCCCCCCACAGCGGCATTTTCGACGAAAAATAAAGAATACCCGAACAAATACCCCCAAAAAGGCCAAAACATAATCCAAAAATGGTCCCCTGACTATTTCTGGATGATGTTTGGATCATGTTTGGGGTATTTCTTATTTTTCGTAGAAAATCCCCTTGTAGGGGGACAGGCCCGACTTGAGCCGAAGTTTGCTTGAGTTTCCGCTCGGCGGTGGGGGGGGGGTTGCGTGGCGCTGCCGGGGAAAGGAGGTTCGGCGGGCTTTCCCCCCGGCCCCCAGGCGCCCCCCCCCTCAGGGGTTAGCTCGGGCATGTCCCCCTACAGGCGACTTTTCGACGAAGAATGGAACACTGTCGAACAACATTCAAACATTTTCAAAATATGCTAGAAGTTCCGTCCCAACCTATTCGTTTTCTATTTTTGACTATTCCTCCTGTAGAGGGGCAGGCTTCGGGGACCTTCAGCTCTGCTAGGAAGGGCCAGGGTGGCTCTGCCGGGGAAGCGGGGTGGGGGCGAGATTCCCCCCAGCTCCCAAGCCCCCCCCATTGGAGGAACCGTTTTGTTATGAATTTGCCGATCCCGAATTAGTGACAAGCCGACCCCTGCCCCTGGCACCCCCTGTGGCACCGCTGATCTTCGGGGCAACGCAACATTTGCACTACGCCGCGGGGCGTCGGCGCTGCCGCGAGCCAATCGGTGAAGTCTCCCCTACACTACGCATCTCTCTTCAGTTCCAAAGCTTCGTTCCCTGGCTCTAGACGGTAGTCCCGTAGGTACGCGTCGACGCTGAGCCGCACTTGCACTTCCGGCATGGCCCACCCGCCAAAGTAACTGACCACGCTTAGGTCCGCTCCGGATGCCGTGAACAGCTGCTCCCAGGAAATCGGGCTCCCTCGTGAGTTCTCCACCCATGGAAACGTGCACGCGCACAATAAGCAACTCGGTGACGCTGTGCTCTTGTGCCGGGTTGCTTTCGCGCACATGTTCAAGCGCCGTCTGAGCAAGGACTAAGCCGAGAGCGGAGCACCACCCCGAACAGCATGTGCAACGACTGCATGGTACGCTGCCTCGATACGGAGATCCCCCCCCTCGTCTCCCTGGCGATGGGCAGCGCGACGTCACCGTGAACCTCGCAAACGTGCCCGCACAACTCTGCTACGTCCTCCCTCCGACTGCCAAACACACCCCACGAACGCACAGCGCACAGCTGGAAATTCCACGGCCGTATCCTCGGCCAGCGTTCGCGGCCACGGCGGCGCGGGACCCCGTAGGCGCGGTCGGGCGACGCCGCGCACTCGCTGCAGCAGCTGCCGCGAGGAGTTCTCGGGCCCGACGGGGAACTTTCGACGGCGCGTCGACTCGAGTATTATAGAAAGCCTTCTGCATCGCGTCCGCCGCAGGGGCACCGACGTCGACCCCTCTGCATCTCCAGCGTGGGCTCGTCCCCAATGCGGCGCTCCGTCCACGCCCACGGAACCCGAGCGGGCGCCTGGTTCTGTCGGCCCGCCAAACGCCGCTCTTTGCCTTCGCCAGTCTGTCTCGTATCCTACGCTCCGCACTTGCAAATCCTCTGCTCCTTGCTTCTGCCCC